AATTTAGGGGGGTTAGCTTGCCCTGGGAGTGATGTGATTGTAAATGTTATGGTGTCATCTTTTTCAGAACGCTACAAATCGATGTGGGTATTGAACAATTCTAAGAAACCTTTCAAAATTTTACACTAATATTTCAGTTATATTTATTACTATACCACAAGGAAGATTAAATTTACGCATTAAGAATATTTTTCATCAAGTATTTTTAATAAAATGGTTATAGTCGTTACAAATATAAAATAGTTGGATACAATTATACTTACTTTGTTAAAAACAAGACTGATGCAAGGCTTTTCTACGCTACATTATCTGGAATGCTGGAATTTCTTATTGACAATATGTTTGACAAGTTTGAAAGATATATTTCGGCATCGGTATTTCAGTGGGAACAAAGGTTCACTTGTGCTTACTGATGTATTTATTAGCGTATAGTGGTGCAAAGTAGCGGAGCAAAGTGGTGGGGTAGCGGTGCAATGTGTGAAACCAGACTGCAAAGTACAGGAATAGTGGTACTAAGTGTGGCAATCTAGAGTACACAGTACAGAAATAGTTGTGCAAAGTAGTGGAAAAGTGGTTCAAAGTGTCAATCTAATGACAAAGTACTGGGATAGTGGTGCTAAGTGTGCAATAAAATGCAAAATAGTCAAAAAATGGTGCAAAGTGCCAATCATTAGTGCAAAGTACTAGAATGATGGTGCTAAGTTTAAAACTAGGGTGAAATATAGTGGAATAGTCGTGCAAAGTGTAAAACTGAAGTGTAAAGTTATTGAATGGTAGTGCGAATGGAGAAAATAAAGTACAAAGTAGTGAAAAAGTGCAAAGTAGTGAAAAAGTACAAAGTAGTGAAAAAGTGCAAAGTAGTGGAATAATGGTGCAAAATGTGAAACTAAGGAGCAAAGTAGTAGAAAAGTGGTGCAAAATGTGAAACTAGAGTGTAAAGTACTGGAATAGTGGTACAAAATGTGAAACTAGGGAGCAAAGTAGTGGAAAAGTGCAAAGTGTAAAATAGAATGTAAAGTGGTGGAATAGTGGTGCAAAGTGGGAAACTAGAGTGCAAACTAGTGGGAAAGTGCTGCAAAGTGTAAATCGGTGTATCTAGTCGTACAGTAACTAAGTGATTAAGGAGGCTACACTACTGATTAATACTTATATCTGTGACTTGGATTTTACAAAGATATACCGTTGGGTATGTTTTATTTCAAAAAACGTACACAATTCAATATAATATACACAAAAGAATTCAGTAACACGTTTTTGCAATTTTGTCTTTGATCTTTGATTCAATTTGAGGCAAATATCGAACGCAAAGTCACAATGAGTCAGCAAATTCTAGTTAACTGAACACTTAAACTGCTTCAATGTTTCAACTAAATGAAATGCGTTTTAATGTGTCCACGTAGAGTTTGAATAAATCTAATTTAAGACAATAAAATGTTTGTCTGGTGCTTTCTCATCACCGTTTTTACTAAATTTGCTTTGTCACGGTTATCATACATTATTTGCTGTTTATTTTTCACTGCTTATCTGTTTATTGAATATTTGATTTATCGGTTTACTGATTATCTGGTGTATCTGTTTGACCGGACTCCACAAAAATTCTGTTCTGAACGTTTTAGATTTCGGTTTTCCTAAGATGTATCTTTGGAAGAAAAATATGTACATTAATAAGGTTTTTACAAGAATATCTCAAAGTGTGCACTCGGACAGTACGCCGCGCATCGACCTCCGCTGCGTGTCAGTATACTCCAGCTGTACTGTCTTCGTGCATACTTTGAGGTATTTTTGTAATAACCTTATTAATATAACCTCATATTATTAATGTTTCAGCCATTTATAATTAATATAACCTTTTCTAATCCTAATTATAACATTTCACTCAATATATACCCAGTCATAATGTGTCACTTTGTATAATGTAATGCACATAGAAATGTACAACTACAACTTTAATGCCGTGTATTGTGAACAAGAAGCCAAATGATGCGAGTAAGTGAAAATACGTTTTGTTAATTTTCTTTCTGAAGCAACAGGTTTGTCAAGTGGTTAATTAACATCACTGTCACATTCATACAAGATTGTTTGAAGCAGTTCTTAACTTTCTTTTGTCGTGAGATTTGGTATTTGGTATTCAAAATCAAAATCAGTGACGAAGCGTTGGAGTATACTCCATTTTTGTAAACATAACTTTAAAGTCATGAATTAGTTATTGATGATGAATTTGTGATAAATTTATATATTTCAAAATGTGCTGGAATGCAATATTGACGAGATGCCGAAGACGAGAATGTTGCCAGATTATCAGAATCACTGTAAACCTGACACAGTCTCCAGTTGCAACGGAAGACGGTGATTATTTTCCAATTGGATAATACTAGTATTCATGTACTGCTATATATGCCATCCTGACATATATCAACTTGCAATAAGATGCTGGGAAAGACATACACAGTTGTACTTACCCCCACTGACGATACTTCTCAGCTCCTCCTCCACGAGCTTAAAATCACTTTCTTTTGGTGCACCTTGGAAATGCTTAGCAAGCACGAACTTCTGTGTCTTCACCATCTTAAATTCAGTCTACTTAAATATGCCTAAATGTTTAGATATATCAGTTAGAGATTGTCACATGTTCTAGTCAAAGTATATTCAAGGCCATAGTATAAGAGGTCACCACTGAGATTATAATGTACTAAAACGTTCATCATAGACCAAACTTTGTACAGTGGTCGTTGACACTTATTATCAGCACTTTACAAAGCGAACAAAGCAAGCAAACTAATAATATAAAACACGTCATTTAATTGCACTACTAAATTAATGCAATGGAAATTAGTGTAGTTCGGCAATTAGTTAGTAGCACCGTTTCTATTTTAATTGAATGAGCCATGACGAATGTTCATACAAAAAAACTCCACGGTTGAGGTTATCGCGGGTGAACAAGGAATTGTGGGCCGAATTCCGCGAAGAATGGTCAATATAAAGCAAAAGTTCATAATTATATATCTGACTGTGATAATAACGGTAATTATGTATATAGTGAGGATATTGCGAATATTATCGGTAAGCTACCAACTCAAAAGTCGCGTGGCTCTGATGGTCTCTGCGCTGAGAATCTTAAGTATGTGTATTTGTGTATGTGTATCTCATCTCTGCTTGTCCACGGATATATCCCTCCTGAGATGTCAAACGTTTTCTTTCTTCCTCTTTTGAAAAATAAAAAAGGAGATGTAACGAGCAAGAACAACTACCGTTCTACTGTCATTACAACTGTAATAACAAAACTATTAGAACACTTGTTTCTTGAGAGCTGTGAACTATACTTCGTGACTACCAGCAATCAATTTAAATTAGTTTTTTTTTTAAAAGAGTCATTATACGGATTTCTGTGTTTTCGTTTTAAAAGAGCTTATTCGCTATTATAACTCTCTTGGTAGTAATACATTCGTTTTCTTGATGCGTCAAAAGCTTTTGACAAAGTCAACCACTGGACACTGTTAAGCAAACTATTCTCCACCATACATTCGATTTCTCGTGAACTGGTATTCCTCGCAATACTACTCTATCAGATGGAGTAATTATCGCGACTATTTTCGGTATATATTGGGGTGCGACAAGGGGGTGTTATGTCTTATTCAATGTGTATGTGGATACCTTAAATATCCAACTCAATATTAACATGAACGGGTGCCTAGTTGGCAAAACATTAATTAATAACCTTAGTTATACTATATTAGTTATATATATCAAGGAAGTTATCGTATGAAATGTATTTTATTTGAAACGTTTTGTTCAAATTGTTATTGCTGCCAATTGTGGTGCACGTACCGCAAATGCATTCCGCAGACTGTTTGGTTATCTAAGTGACTGTAGCGCTGGTACTATGTTCGTTACAAACCGCATTAATTAATTTTCGTGTATTCATCGTAATCTCATTTTTAAATTTAATGAACGTGGGCAGAGGTCGTTTTTGTTTCTCTTCTGTTCTGCAATGAATCTTATGATTTGAATTAAAGCTATAATAATTTACATAATAAACCAAGGAACATTGTCTTGCAATTTATGACAAATTTTCTCTAAAAAAAAAAAATATGATTGGACTTCTGCCTTAAGCGCGAACGTATCAAAACAGTATTACACTATTATAACAGTATCGCGTCACCACTAACGATATCGCGTCAATTGTTGTGATATCTCTATTTGATTCACCACTAACG